CCCCCCCCCCCCCCCCCCCCGCCCCCGCAGGCGTTCATCCTCAGGGTAAGCGAACGGGTGTCGAAGAAAGCCCCCGTCGCGAGACACAAGATCTCCGTAGATCTACTGCTGTACTCATCTTCTTCCCCGGTAGCTAACAGAGAGAGAGAGATGGAGATGGATACAAGCACGGCGATTTCAGCGCCGAGCCCCATCATCCCGCCCGCAGAGTCGTACGTTCTGGCACCGCCCGTGGTCGAGAATTCTACCGCAGAGTCACAACAGCAGCAGCAGGCGCCGCCTCCGCCTCAGAAGGCCGATGACGCCGACGTAGACATGGCGGAAGCTACTCCCTCACCCGCGGCGCCCAAGCCCGCTGCTGGCACCGTCGCCCCCGCCGTTGTCTCAGTTTCCGCCGCACCTTCTGCCGTCACTGCAGTCCCCGCCACCGCTGCCGCCGCGGCCAGCCTCGTGGCGCCGCCGCCGCCGGCTACACCTCCTCTTGCACCGAAAGTCGCCACCGGGGGGGCTGCAGCTCCGGCTTCCGTGGTCCGTCAAGGCTCGTGCGCGGAGATGGCGATAAGCCTCGACAGCAGCGACGAAGATGATGCGATGGACGTTCCCGCCGCCGCTGCCACCGCCGCAGCCGCTGCCTCGCTGCCGGCATGCATCACCCCGCCGGTGGCATCCGCCGCCCCCGCCCCCGCCGCGAAGCCCTCCTTCAGCATCCGGCTCCCGGCTTCCGTCAGGATGAACGCGGCGGCCTCCGCAAGGGGGGCATCCGCAGGAAGCGCCGCCGCCGCCGCCGCCGCCGCCGCTGCCGCCGCCGCCGCTGCCGCCGGTGCTGGTGGCACCGTCGGTACGGCTTCTTTGAGCTACGCCGCGCAGGTCGCGGCGGCGAGCAGGGCCGGGGGGGGTGCTCGCGGCGTCAAGCACGAGAAGGGCAACGGCGGCGGCGGCAAGTGGTCGGGGGCTTCGCAGCAGCCGAGCCTGAAGAGGAACAAGCCCACCAACGGCGCGCGGCAGAGGGGGAGGCCGATGGGCAGCAAGAGCCGGTCGAGCGACGAGGACCCCCCTTTCGTCGCCGCGAACCCCCCGCAGGTGTCTTGTCTGTCTTGTCTCATCTGTCCACTCGATTGGGGGGGGGCAGGCTTGCGGATTATCATGTTGTGTTGATTTTCTGGACTATATGAGTAGTTCATTGACAAGTCACCCATGACGACCACGTGCAAGCGTGTGTTGCCACGAACACACGAGATACGAAACCACTGCTGTAGACAGAAGCCGGGCATAGCCCACCTGCGACCACTTGACGAAACATCACCAATCCAACCTATTGCATGTACCCCGCCCCCCCCCCCCCCCCCGGGT